TTACTATAACGAATAAAATTTTTTATAGAATGAATTGGAAAAATAAAAAAAGTTCACTATAAGCCAAATTTACTGTAGCAGGATTCACTATAACGAGCTTTGACTGTAGATAATTATCTAATATTATTTGCACTATATAAATATTATATTTTTCTTCAAAATGCTTACGTAAATTTTGATAATTCATACTTTAATAACTTTTTTCTTCATTTTTCATCAACTGCCTCAAATTTAATCAAATTATAAATATAGTCATATAAATTTAAATGCTTAAAAAGAAGTGAAAAATAACTAAATTTAACATATAGTATTACTTCCTGATTTTGATACGTGCTTTCCTTTTTTTTCTTTATACCTTTAAATATAACTTGCATTCCTTTTTAATTTATAATTTTCTCTCTGTTAGATTTGATTTTAGCTTATAGGCTTTCTATTTTATATGTATATTATTAATGTTAAAAATTTGTCATAGAAAATGATTTACAAAAGTTATTGAATTTAATTTCATATAAATCATATTAAGGAAAATCTTGATCAATATACTGCATTAGAAAATCAGGCTGATTTATTTAATTTGCAAAATTTACAAAATTCACCTGATTCACCTGATTTATTTGATTAGCTTATTTTATTAAATTCTTTACATATTTATTATTTTCATTATAATTATTATTTTTATTACTTTTTTATTTTTATTATCGTTATAATTTATCTTCTATTTTATATCTTTATTTTATTATCTTTTATTATTATTTTATAGTTGAGTTTACTAATATAGTTAGTTTATAGTGTAGCAATTAGTTAGCTATAGCAAATTTATTTTATATAAATAAAATAATTTTTGTAAATTAACTCTTTTACAAGTTTTAGTAATATAAATAAAGAATCAATTTAAATTCATATAAATTTACTTTTTCTTTTAACATTATCACTCATCTAGAATTTGTTGCAATACTTTATACTAACTTGTTATTAAGTTCATCATTATGAGTTTGACTAATATATCTTAAATTCTAAGACGTGATAAATTGCCAAGTTAATTAAATATAACAGATACCTATAAGACTTAAAGAAAATTATAAGATCAGAAATTCTAATGTATAAAATCAACTGCTGCAATCTTTTAACTTAAACATTAAGATAATTGAAAATATCAATATCATGCTAAAGTTAAAATTTCATAATGATATTGTAAATTTAACTATTTTGCTAATATTTTCTTTAATTTTTTAATCTCATTTACTATATATTTTAGGCTAACGTATTAGCAGATATTTTTAATACAGAATCTATTAAATAAGTAATAGAAAGAAGAGGTCTGATCTTCTTTAGATATATGTAATCTTAGCCTCATTATTTGTATATATATAAACTATATAGTATTATAAGGTAATTTCTAATTATATCATTAATGTTTGATCTACTTTTACTTTTAATTATATTCCATTCTTTTGCAGCTTTACGATAAATATTAAAATAATTAAGGGTATAATTTTCTATCTTAATCATATACTATATATATATATATTAGTAAATTATTGATATCTATTTGTTGGTAAATTAAAGATTAATTTTTATTAAATTTAGGGTTAATTAGAAAAGTTAATAGCTTATTTTAAACCAAAGATAGAATAATGATGCATTTAAAAAAGAATTAAATGCGTATGAAACTTCACAACTATTTAAATTAAAATTCTATATAGTCATACATAATTCTGTAAAATCTTAATTGAAGTAAGATAAATTGATGATCAACATCAAAAATTTTAAAATACAAATTTTATAACATTTATAGATTTTAGAATACTTACAAATTTTAATTTTTTAATTTAAATAGTTTTTTTCAATATAAAAATAAGCTACTTAATTTATAAATTTATTAACTTTATACATTATAATAATATATTTTATTAATAACTAATATATAAATTTTATAAAAGAAAAATAATTTACATTTATATAATTAAAATATCTTACTTGAAAATAAGTATATGGGAGGGTTTCTAGAAAAATCAGGTTCTGAGAAATTTTTCAATTAAATTAAGAGCTTAATACATTTTAATCTAATAACATCAAAAACTAAAATGCAATAAAAATCTCAATTTTGTTAAAAAATTTCCAGAATCTGATTTTTCTAGCAATCAACCCATATAATAAATTAATATTAGGTAATAAATATCACTGTTCTTATTCTTTTTTAATATTTATACTATTATTAAATTGTATTAAATATTATTTATAAAATTGTTGTCATATAAATTAAATTATAATTTCTAAATATATCTACTACATATATTCAAATTAAAGCTATTTTATTAATTTTAAATAGAAATTATTAGTTATAATAATAAAAATAAATTTATCATATTAAATGCTTATATTTGATATATTTTTTTCATAAAATATTATATATTATAAGTATATCTAATATTTTATAAACATTTTTTTTTATATTTCTAATATAATATTAGTATTCTTAAAGTCTAATAAATATATTATGATGAAATATATAATAATTTTTAAATATTTGTTAAAAGTTATTTTTAACCAATAAAAAATTTATATTAATTTAATTTAAAAGCAGTTTTTTTTTTTAAATGCTTTTTAAATACAAGTTTATTTATCAATATTATTAATAATATATAATAAGATCAATTATATATATAATTTAATTTTCTGTATAAAAATTTGATCAGAAAAATCAAATAATCCAATTACCTTAAAATATATAACTTATTTTAAATATTAATTGATATACTTCTAATATATATTATACAGAGTAGTTTTTCTCAAAAATATATATCAATCTAACATTTTTTTGTAGCAATAACTGATTAATATATTAAAAACTGGTTTCTAAATATTTATAAATATTTGTAATAAAAAAAAGATCTATAATCATAACCTGCAAAATTTAATTCTTTCTAAGCTACTTATAGATTTTTATATGTTTATTAACTAATTCACTTGAAAATATAGAAATTTTAGAATCTATATTTGATTTACATATGTAATCAGATTTGAATATTTTATTTTATATTATTACTATTACTTTTAATCATAAATTCTTTATTATTTAATATAGCTCTAATTTTCATGTTTATTATTTTTTGCTTTTTCCCATTTTTTATTTTAATTTTTTTTTATCATTTTTGCAAAATTTGAATTTTTTATTCTTTGAACGTGAGGTCGAATGCCTGATGATTTAAATATTAATGATTATTTTAAGGAGGTGGAAGCACCTAAACTATCGTTTAAAAACCGAAAACATAATTTCAACCTGATTTTGCTAAAAAACCACTAGAGTTTTACGAATCATAGTGACGTGCCATTTGGCTTTCTAACGAGATAAAGAACATTCAAAAAATATGACCTAAAAATAAAGTAAAAAACTTCCAACTATTTACGAGGAATAATAATGAATTACAAAAAAAGAAAATTATAAATTCCTTTAATGAAAAAAAAAAGATTTTTTTTTACTTATATAAAACATGATACAATTTGAATCCATGTAAAGTATGCGGTAAACAAAAAATTTCCGGAGTTTCATGGTTGAATTATTTGATTTTAGAGAATTTAAAAGCAAGCATCAATCTTCAATTCGATTACGCGTAAAGATTATGTAAAAACTTTTCTCGTAAAAATGTAATTGCATCACAATTCGTAATCATTGATACTGGTTTGTAAGTTAGAATAAATACGAATCATTTTAATCATTTTAAAGCAAACTTTCTTCAAAAAAAAAAAAAAAAAAAAAAAAAAATGATCGTTCCAATTCGTTGTTATACTTGCGGTAAAGTATTGGCCAATAAATGGAATCATTATCAGACGATGTTAGATAGCGAATATTCTGAAAGGTACCTTTTAATTTCACCATTAAATTAAATCATTAATGTAAACAAAAAGTTGATTCTTTTTATGATATGAAAAGTGCCGCGTTGGAATCTCTTGGAATAACCAGATATTGTTGTCGTCGAATGCTTATATCTCATGTTGATTTTATTCATAAAATTTTAACATTTACTCGTAAGCTAAATTTCAATCCTATTCAATTTGTAACTTAACGTTTAATTAATTTTAATTTCGTTATTAAAAACAGCACCAGAATCCTCAATGATAGGAATCGGAACAGATCACTATAATTCCACTTTTAGAATTGATTCTGAAATGGAAGAACCACCTATCACACCTTTCAACAACGATGAATTAGATTTTACAAATGGAAATTCTCCGAGATATGACGTTGAAAGATCTCCAACGTATGTTTCTAGTAAGGATCAATTTGTTCTTAGAACTCCTATAGACGCATCTATTATCTCAATGGATCAATCTTTTCTTCTTGATGACAAATCTCCGAGATACGTTCCAAGCGAAGATTCTTCAAGGTATTCTCAAAATGAAGAATATTTTTCTGAATCAACGGGACAAATATATCAAAGTTGTCCTTCCTATGAACTTGCATCTTATACGGATGATGGTTCCCCTACATATCAACCCGAACAAATAGGAGACAATTGTTCTTCACAATATTTACCTGAACATGAACAAACAAATGATGATAATTCTCCAAGATATTCTCCTTATTATGATTTTTAATCAAAGTAACTTAAACACAATTCGGTTGAGATTAAATATTTAGTGATTGCCACGATTGCATACTATTTTTAACATGTATAATTGGCGAGAACTTTCATTATAAAAACGGTTTATTTTACTTATTCCTTTTTATTTCACTTCGAGATTTACAAATCAAGTAAATAAGTTTTGTCGTTATAAAGATTATAATACTGTATCTGACCTTCCTCAAATGTATTTTAAATAAACTGTACTAGATTATATATTATATAACTTTTTTTTTATTTTAGCTATTAAATTTTTTATATGGTTGAATTCGACTTTTACCAGGTTTCATTATTGATACAACTGGATACAACCGGTCCGGAAGATCTGTCCAAACTTTAACGGTTCCATGCTTTATTCCATTAATTGAGAATGCACAAGTTCGTTCGTTCATATTTAAGTGAACGCTAATTCTGTCTCCCTTTTTAAAAGTACCCGAGTAACGAATTTCTTTATTATTATTATGAACGCAACCATTCGAACCAAATGCCCATCCATGAGGTTGATATCCAGCAAAATTATTATAGTCAAGTCCTGATTCTGTACACACTCCTACCCAAGTATTAACACAAAATTCTTCAATTATAACATCCCATTCATAAACGCCTTTTCCACAAATAACTTGCTTAGTTCTTACAGTGTGATGACCAGATTTTTCATTTGAAACAGTAACTTCATCATTATGTATAGTAATTCCATCTCCACAATGTTTTTTGTCCCACGTAAAAAACGGCATTCCACGAGTATATGAAATAGGAGTTTTAACTTTGGCATGATATCGAAAAAATTCTAAAAGATCTTCTTTTGAAATGATATCCAACGGTTCAAAAATATTTTCCATATCTTTTAAATCAATTCTTCTCAAATCTATAAATTCTATTAAAGGTTTTAATTTTTTTGCAACATCAGGAAGAATCTCCCAAACTTTTGAAGATTTCTTATAAAGATTCCTTATATCATCATAATTTCCCACCATTCCATCTTCTAATGGTATCATTCTTTCAAATGTTGAAACTAAACTTTGGTTAATTTCATAAACTAATTTCAATATAGTGAAACGTAAAATATTATATTCATTTGTAGAAATTGTTTCATCTGTTTTAAAAGTTTGAGATAAAAAGCATTGTAAAACCTTTAAAGACATCTCTTCAAATCTAATCTTATCCAATGAGAGTTTTGAAAAATATTTAGTTAAAAGAACTACAACAACTTCATCTTGTAATTTTGATAACTGAAAATAATCTGCAGCATAAAAAACGTTAACCAAGTTTTCCAAACTTTCGTTGGCAAAAATTTCATTAGAAACCAATCCAGTATAAATATATTCCATCACCACTTTCATTGCAGAAGAATTGATTTCCGGAAATGAAATTTTTGATTCAGTCGATTCTTTCCTTTCATTAAAGAGAAGTTTATATAGAACTTCAGACCGAGCTCCCATAATAGTACGATTACCATGTAAGGTTCTTCCATCTTCACAAGTAATTTCTATATCACTAAATTCAGGGTCATTGTTGATATATTTTAAATCATCAGTAAGTGAATTTCCCCGTTTCATAATTGAAAATTATTTCATTAACAAAATTTCGAATTAAATTAAATAAATTTTGGGTTTGACTAGTTTTAGTAAGAAACCAAACAAGCCCCTGAAATTATACCGCTGCAAAAGTATTGAAAATGATTATCACATTTAAGCTCATGCCTTTTATTTATAATTCATGTTTTTACAAAAAGAAATAACTTGAAATAATATCGTAAGAAGTATTTTAATGGTTATACCTTAATTAATATGACTGAAAATGAATTTCTTACTTGGCATGTCGGTTAATTAGTTAAATAATCAAAGTAAGTTCTGTCGCTTGTTTTATTTTTTTTTTTCAGGGCTTCCTAAATTTAGAAGAATATTTATCATACATTCCGCTATTTGTCGCATATTCTCAGCATGGTACTATTTCGAGAAGTACTACGAATTATGTGACAATTCGGCAAGACGTTTTAGAAATGTTGAAAATCCAAAAAAAAACCGACATTTATTGATGATTTTATGTCAACCAATGAAGAAGTTGTCCGACAAGCTATGAAATTTAATGTTTGTTTGAAGTTGTCTAGTTATGAGTTTACAATGCTGGTTTAGTGGCCTAGATTTTTGTTTGCCACAAAATATTGAGGAATACCAATATTCGGTATCAAGACTATAAATGGCGGAACAACTAAAAATATAAATGGATTCGTTGCCACTGGATTTCCAAAGAGATAAGTTCCTGATTTAGAGGTATGACTTTGACTTTTAATGTCGGCGAAGAACGTAAAACTATTTCATGATCAGATGTATATAATTCGGGTAAATCAATGTCCGAATAAAGAAAATCTGAGATAAAAATTGGAAGTGAAAAAGAAATCAAGATAAATTATGTTTACCGGAAATTATTTCTGTGGTGAGTGTCTCAACCATGCCTGATCCTTATGATGAGACAACTTAAATACTTTGATGGTGAAATATACTATAGTGAAGCAGATGACTGGGATGCATCATATTCGGGTGAGGTGTCGTCTAAAATCCCGAAACCCATAATCCCGAATGCCAAAATCCCAACAAGTACAAATCCCGACTTGTATAAAATCCCGACACTTAATATCATAGAAAGTGATGATTATACAATTCAGTTTAACGAAATATTATTCATTTGTACAAAGTTAACAAAATAATAAAGTTTATTTAATTTTCAACACTTTCGTAGAATAATAAGTGTATTAAAAGCTAAATAAAATTAACTACATGAAAGGTTGTTGCGCGATCCCATGGAGAAAGTCCATTACTGAACGATTTTCTGTCATTAACAATGGTCATAATTCTTTGCTTCTATCAATTGAGACCTTTTTACTTGATGATGGCTGTTCACCATACATTCAACTTGAAAGTCAACATTTTGTTCTTTCTGTAATTCTTTAATCATTATATAAACACCTACATGACTTTGGCCAACTAAATTTCCTAATGTCTGGCAAGCAAAATCAAAAAAATTGGACATGTGATAAATCAGCCTAAATCAGCATATTATCTAAAATTCAACCTATACATCAATTTTTATTAAAATAAAAATAAAATTTGGAAGAAATTGATATTGATATTTATATTTTAAGTTATAAAATTCATGACTAAAAAACATTCAATTTATTTAATTGTATTTTTACAAATGGAATTTTCTATTAATTGTATTAATAACCAAATATTTTTTTGCATTTCGCTGGATTGAAATTCAATAGTTACTGGTATATATTGATCCAAATATAATAAACTGGTATTATATAACCATAACTTTCTGAGTAAAAATCAGTATTCCAAATTTACATGCTTCTTTTTAACAAAAATAATATCAAATATTTGAAAAACTGCAGATTAATACTAGCAAATATATACTAGAAAAGTTTAATTAGTCTAAATAGCAATTTAATTGTATCCCTTAAAGCGTAGATATAAATTGGCTATAAAACATTATAGAAAAATTATAATATTTTAATATCTAGTAATTATAAAAAGATGAAATAAAATTTATTAGATTTGTCATATTAAGATCTATCTAATGATAATATTTTTAAATTTTTAAAATTAATAATTATTAATATATATTAATTTTTCAATTTTTCAATTTTTTAAAATAATTTATTAACTAATAATTACAAGAAAATAACTCTTTCCACTGATCCTTTCGACCAAATGTCTTCAACAACTAAAAGACAGAGTACATACAAGAAAAAACCTGAACTTTACAATAAAACTACTTCAAATTCTTTAGAAACTAGTAAAAAACCTAGTACTTCATCCTCTAACGAGTACGAAAAGAACAAAAATGACGATATAGTTACTAAAATTACAAAAAAACAAAAACTTGAAACTTCAAAACTCAATATTACTCCAACAGTTACAGAAACTCCAAAACTCAATATTACTCTAACAGTTACAAAAATTTCAGATACCACTCAACCAACACCAAATACTATGCAAACTACTTCTAATTCTTCTGTTAAGGCCATATAAATAGAAATCATTTATGAAAATATATCAGCATTTTGATTTTTATTTCCTGAATGATGTTTGATAATAAAATCGTAGGCTTGTAAGAATAGAGCCCATCTGGTGATTCATCCTTTTACATGTTTAGTAATTAACAACTAATTTAATGCAAAATGATCAGTCATTACTTTGAAAAATTGATAACAGAGATAATAGTCAAAATGCTTAATAGCTATCGAACTACAAGACATTCTTTTTTAGTAGTAATGTATTTTAATTTTAAATTAGATAATTTTCTGCTTACATAAGTTATTTGATATTCAAGTCCTTGATCATCTCTTTGAGCAAGTATAACTCCTAATCCTTCATCTGAGACACCTGTTTGAATAATAAATGTTTTACTTAGGTCAGGTTGAATGAGAACTGAAGTTGTAATCATTTTAAATTTCAACTTGTCAAATGAATTTTGATGTTGTGTTGTCTAATTCCAAATAGTATTTTTTTTGATTAGATTGTGAAGAGGTCCTGCAATCTTTACAAAATCTTGTATAAAACGTCGATAATAAGAGAAGAGTCCTAATGCCATTCGTACTTCCTTTGAATTTCTTAGTATAGGTAAGTCAACCATAGTTTGAATTTTCTTTTGATCAAGTTTGATTCTATTACTTCTTATAATATGATTTAAATAGCTAACTTCATTTACTACAAATATGCATTTCTTTAGTTTTATTTTTAATCCTGCTTCTTTAATCTGGCAAAGACTTATTGTATATGATTACAATGATCTTGAAATATGGTTGAATAAATGATAATATCGTTTAAGTAAACTGCACAGAATTTTTCAATTAATTGATGTAGAACTCTATTTATTAGTCTTTAAAAAGTGGCTGATACGTTCTTTAAACTAAAAGACATCACTTTGAACTCATAGAGTTTTGAAGATATGATAAAAGCTGTTTTCGCTTGATCATCTAGATGCATTTTCACTTGCTAATACCCACTTGCTAAGTCTAATACAGTGAAGTATCTAGCAGTTTTGAAGTTTTCCAATTGATCCTGCATATTTGATATTGGATACTGATCTGTGACTTTTATTGAATTTAATAGATGATAATCAACACATATTCTAAGATCTCCTATCTTTTTAGGTATGATTACAATTGAAGAGGCCCATAGACTTTCTGAAGTTTGAATAATCCCTTTTTCTAATATTTTATCAATTTTTTTTTTTCAAGAAATCTTTTCTTTTCTGATTTAATCGATATAGGAAATGAGCGATAGGTTTTGTGTTTGATTTTAAGAGAATTTGATGATTAACAAATGGAGTTTGTCTAATATTAATTCTTTCAGTTAAAATAATTTCTTTTGGTATAAGTACTTTAATTATTTTTTATTCTTCTATTTCTTCTTCAGTATCCATACTATAAAAAGCAATAATTTCTTTTTCTTGATAAGGCCATTTAATACATTCTAATTTATCACTTTCTTCATTTGAATCAGAAGAAAAATCGTCATCATTTTTAATTTGAAAAAGATCTGTTTCATATAGGGCTTCATCTACATATTTTTCTTCTTCATTTTTATAATGTTTACTAAAATTTTAAAGAATGATTTAGCTTCCTTAATACATTTTATGAAAGATTCAACTGTTTGACCATCGATTTTAACTCTTAGCTTATCCTGATTGAAGTATATTCTTGAGTCAAATGCTTTGAACCAGTTTATTTCTAACAATAAGGTATCTTGGGTTGATTTAATCATTTGTAAATCAACTGAGAATTTTGCTCCTTATAAGATAAGAGAAACAGAAGTTATGATTTCTAATAATCTTTTACGTTTTCTATCTGTTATCACAACTAAGATATCAGAAGACTTGTCTGGTTTAATATTGAGTTTAGAAGCTAAAGTAATGAGATTATACATACAACTGCATCTAAATCCAGAATAGTTCAATTGGATTTAATTTAAATCTTATAATACATCTAGTAGTGATATATTTATTATTATTAGTTACATGAGTTTGAGCGCTATTTATTCCAATTTCCATTTTCTTTTCAATCTTCTTTATTTCATTCTTGATTTCTTGAAGATATGAAGGATTTCTTAGTAGTTGTCTGAAAGTAACATTAGCA